CCCCCCTGATGTGTCGGTCGGCAGCCGGGGGTCCTGCGTTTGGCAAACGGAGGACCCCCGCGATCCCCAGGGTCGACACATGCGGTTGCTGCCCATAGTGTGAGGTAGAGATAGGTCTGCCGTCGGCATGTGGCGTGGAATTGCTTTTGTATTTTAATTTTTTCCATCTCGTGATGTGGGAGATAGAGATAGGTGTCATTGATGCATTCCTCGTTCTTTTTCTTTTTGATATCTCCTCCAGCGACAGGTCGTAGGTGTCCTGAAGATGCGGATAAGAGGTACAACAACAGGTCAAAACTGTAGCGCGACAAGCTGTGGGCTCTCGACTGGGTCGGAGTGCCCGGCGAGCCCGGGTGCGGTGCTGCTGTATTCTTGACGGAGGACGAAGGGACGACCTGGTATTGTTGTGGCGGCATCATCAGGTCTGAAGTTGACAAGGCCACGGCGGACAAGGGTAAGGTCGACGACCGAGATTTGAGGAAATTCTTCCTCATTTCGGTGTACGATGAGCAGGGTACGAACTGGGTCAAGACTGACCACAAGGTCAGCCTTGACATTGTTCTGTTCAAGGGGTATGGTCAGAAGGCATTCGGTATGAAAGCCTTCAGCAGCAAGCGGGACGGGAATGCTTCGAGGATGCTCTTACCCATTGAATTCCTCACCAAGACCAATGGGTATAGGAGAAGTGGTCAATACCCGACGGTCTCCGCTGGTTACCAGCTCTCGTTGCCTCTTGTGCCGTTCGACGCTCCAGGAGAAAGTCTCGCAGGCTTGTCAGCGTGCTCTAGCGTTCAGCGGCAGGATGTCTCGACTCCGCAACCATCGGTGTCCGCGAAGGAGAAACTCGTTACTTACCTGAGGCGTCTGAGCGGTGGGTCATCAGGAAACGTTCCGAAGAAGAAGGTGCTCGACAAACCACCTTCTAGTCTTCCGGGAAGCTCGCGTGTCGGTAGAAGCTCGCGCTCGCAGGACACCTCCCAACGTCGAATGGACGAGGAGTCAAGCGAGAAGACGGAGGACGATGAACGGATTCGCCGATTGCAATCCCAGTCACTAGCCACGCGAAGGTTCACCCAGGGCGAAGGCTCTTGCGATGTGAATGCAGAGCGGGAGGATAGTAGAGGCGACGAAGCCCGGGCGAGGGGCGATGGAGAAGACGATGAGAATGAAGGAGAATGTGGTGGTGGGCAGGACCACATGGATTGCGAAAAGGCAGCGGCAAGCGGCGGGGTGCTCGGTGGTAATGTGGGTGGTTCGGAAATGGAAGACCAGGAGATGGAAGATGAGGAAATGGAAGACGAGGAAATGAAAGACGAAGGACAGGATGTCGATGTTTCCGCGGAGCTTACTTCGAAGGGGAGGGGAAAACGCACAGCAGAATCGTCGCCGAAGCGAGCCGCGCCTAAGAAGCAGGCTCAAAGAAAAGCTGTGCAGGACGCTCGGCTTGCCTTGGATGCAGCTGTTGGTACGCCCGGTGAAGCCGGTGTGGAATCCAAATCCAAAGCTCGGGTTCGCAAAACGTCGCAACCCAGGAAGCCTGTGCGGCCGTCGAGGCACCCGAAATCGGATGACTCGAGCGACGATGCTGAAGGGGTGGCCCCTTGTTTGCTCTTCATCCCTGACGACGACGAACCGGAGACGAAGAAACCCAAAGCGGTGAACATGACGCAGTGCTTCTTCCTCGAGTACAACGAGGACGGCAAAAAGAGAAAGGACCCGCCTAGGGTGGTCATTGACGTCATGCAGATTTTTTCGATTCTGGTGGGAGAGATCACCTTCAACCAGCGAGCGCTGAACCCGGCCATTGTCGTAGGCATCGAAGCGGCAATTGAAGCATCAACTCGCCCACAGTCCGTGGATGATTGGGCTCCGTGGGATCCACCGGAGTTGGTGCTGGCTCCGATTAATCCATCAAAGGACGCGGACGAACAAGGAATTCGTGTCCTTCCAGAGGATTTCGACCCCGAACGGGCAGATGAGTTTTTCTATTACCCGGTTGCCGGTCAACATTCTTCCGAAGCTATGAAAAGAGCGGTGGCGAAGAACTCTGCAGCGGTGGAGGTGTTCGGCTTTCGGAATTATAATCGTGTACGGATCATTTATTTTGACGATGACCATACGAACGGGTACCATTATGTTTCCACATATGACAACACGCGAGGTGACCGTGCTATGTTGCCATCGTTCCATCAAGCCTGCGTGGACATCAGAGGATTTTGGGACAGCAAGAAACGGATCGGGCCTGTGGGGAACGTGTCCAAGGGGGATCCCAAAGGCTTGGAGCACTAGAAAACATGGAGGGAATTTTTGAGGTTGTGCATGGGGAAGTCGTGTGAGAAAGCATTGTGGACCGAGTGTATCTCTGGGAAGTGGCAGCAGGACTGGACGAACAGAATGAGGGGGTACATGAATGTCGCCACATGCAAGGACCCGGTATGGACACTGGTTAAGGAGTTTTTTTAGAAGTATGAGGCGGAGGAGTTGCCGCTGCACGACAACAAATGCCCAAAGGACTTGCCCGACAAGCAGGAAGGCCGGGTGCCGGGCCAATACACTGAACAGGTGCAGGGGAAGAAGGAACTGTTCCATTGCATAGCGGCTAAGGACGGGGGACCAAACGCTACCGTGTCCTTCAAAGATTTCATTCCATCAAACTTCAAATATTTTGGAGATATGACGAGGCGAGAGAAGGAAATTGCATTGCGGTTGATGATAGATAAGAAGGTCATCGCCACTACCCGACTGGTTCCTCYAGGGAAGTTGAACATGAGCAACCTCCTCGACATCWTGCWACGGGAAAGATACATGATGCGTCTGTTCAACTACATCGTCTTCAAATCGGAAAACAAAGAGGGGAAAGAATGGAAGGACGGGAACTTTATCGACTACGAAGGGTTGGAGAAAAGGTTCGGTGTGAAGGCAGCCGTATGGGATGAGGAGAGGGATAGAATCCCTTTGGAATATGTCAGGAGGGTTCCTAAAAGACTCGGC